TAGATAGATAGATAGATAGATAGATAGATAGATAGATAGATAGATAGATAGAAACACACACACACAAACTGACTTCAAGCTCCCCAATCCCTGATTCTGAATCAACACTTTTAGAAGAGGCCCAGTGGATCCTGAGAAGCCCACCCATGTCAGCATAAACCAGTATTTGCCATGTAGCAAGAATATCCACTAGACGTTTGCAATTGTCGATATTCCTGTAGAGACTCAGTGTTGCAAGATTTTCTTGAGCTATTTTCCTCATCCAAATTTTCAGGCTCTCTCTCTCTTTTCTCTCCTCTGACACAGTCAAGCCTTGCATCAACAACCGCTTGGAGAAATACTCCCAGCAGCCCAGTGAAGATTTCCTTTGTGATATTTATCAGCACAATCGCCTTTCCAAGAAAGAACTGTATGCTGCTGTCACAGAGCTCCAGCTGGCTGCGGTGGAGACGGTGAGGAAGGACTGGCGACTCGGGAGGCTAAATAGTCAGTTGGAGAGTTTGGTTTCCATGATGAGTTTATTAAGTAGGCACTGGAATCGTTCTCCAGAATTACTGGAGCAGCAACAGCCTCCAAAACTTGTAGTAAGAGTCCCATAGTGAACACTGGGAAATGCAAAGCATGGCCTCTTCTTGCTTAGGGGTGTGGCAGGGACTTCAATAACATATGCTCCAATGATGAAACAGTGGGTAGGCTCTGGCCAGCACCAGGGCAGATATCAGAACTGATACAGGAATTTGGAAACAGGCACCCAAGCTCTGGCAGGATAATTTAAGCATTTCAAGCTTAAGGGATGGAGAAATGGCTCAGTTGGTTAAGTACTATCTGAGCATCCATGAGGACCTGAGTTTGGCCCTCAGAACTCAAATTTTAAAAGCCAGATGTGGTGGCTTCTATGTGTAATTCCAGGGTTGGGCGTGTAGAGACCACGTAGACTAGCTGGTCCAGTGAGAGACCCTGCCTCAAAAAAATAAGGTAGAGAGTGGTTAAGGAAGCTGTCTGCCTGATGTCAACCTCAGCTTCCACGTGCACATCCATACATGGGCCTTAACATATGAACACGAACACACACACACACACACACACACACACACACACACACACAGATGTCTTCTATCTGACTCTCAGTAGATTCTCCACACACCAAAGTTCTGGTGAGGTCTGTCGCCTCCATTCCTGTCCTAAGCTGTCACAGGTGTGACACAGACTCAGACTCCTCCAAGCCCAACATTCCACACACCTGAAATTTTCTAGGCAGAAACCTTCCTGGTTGGCTGCTTCTTTGCATTTTCCTCTTTCCTGGTGCTTCTTGCAGGGAAAAAAAAAAGTAAGGTTTCTGTATCAGAGGCAACACTCTTTTCTTTCTCCCTCCCACTGCGGACTGGCAAAGCACAAGTTGCCCTGACCTCAGTTTCCAATCGAACGAGCTGCAAAGGCAGCACTTCAGCCACAGTTCTGTTTTCTTGAGGTGTGGATTCTTGAGGTGGAGCTTCATTCCAAGAACACAGAAGAGCACACGGCATATAGAATGTAACCAACAAGTGCTTACTGAGTAGATGAAAGAGGCTGAGAACTACAGAGCGCGTGCTGTGTGCCTGACTCTTAAAAGTCTTCAAGGAATGAAAGGCAAAGTCTTGTTCCTCAAAGAACTTAGATGCCGGTGGGTAGGAAAGACAGCAGACATGCACACACACAAACCACAACTTCACACGGTGGTATACACCATGAAGAAACATTTTAAGCAAGGCATTAAGCTGGCTACAGCTGGTGGGGGGGAAGAGTGAACTTAGAAGAAAGAAAGGAGCATCAGGAGGCCGGTTGAAGAGACACCTCCCGACAGACAGCCGAGGTCGTGCCAGGACAGCCTGAGCCCTTGAGGTTTCCTAACCCACATCCCCTTGGAATTAAGACTCTGTAAGTCTTCCTCAGGGGGCCCAGGAAGAGTACCCTGCTGTGGTGAAAGCTGCAGTTACCCAGCCCCATGGAACATTGTTTGGCCCTTGTGGTGAGGCGCTCACTGATATGGTTACACACCTGGTCCATTTCTTTTTCAGTCCTGTTTATTCTGAAAGTCACATCCGGTGGACCAGAGATCTGACTGCCTCTAATTTAGAAGCCACGCCCTCTTCCTGTTATGTAATAATGGCATCCACGGTTTATTTCAGCTGAGGCCGCTGGCACTCTAACATGAAGGAGCCTGCCTGGGAGGCACGTTCTTCCAAAAATAATAAATGCCAGTTGGCTCTGACCCATCCCGTACTCCTCTCATTAGCGTGAGTGTGTCATGGCGCTTAGGCACAGCGCCTTGGTGTCTGCAGAGGGGGCCCTGACCACCGACTTTCCAAGGCTATTGGGCTTAAATTAGTTTAGGAGTAACTACTCGAATCTACCTCCTGCTTGCTGATGAATATGGTGGCTGCTCCTCATTACCCTCAGAAAAGATGCCACAGAGACCCTTAACATGCCACCAGCCTTTGTCAAAAACAAACAAACAAACAAAAAACACTGATGGCTTCTTAGCATACGCAATGTGATGTCAGAATTTATTTCCACCCGCATCCCATCCCTTTTTGGCAAGCTGTTGCGGTCTCCTATGAAGGCATTTCACATGTGGCTAAAATCCTGATAATGCCTTTTTGTGTTCGTGGTTAATTTAGGGTGTAGCCAAAAGAACTTTTATTAAATTCCAGGAAAGCGATGCCTCACACATTCAATTGCATTAGGAACGTATCTTTAGAAAACCTTTCATTAGTGTCATTAGAGCTTTTCCATCCTCTCTTCACTCGGTTTTACATCACATTTTGCCCATTAAACAAGTTCTAGCACAATTTATATTTTGAGGCCGGGGTAGATTCAAGGTTAGGTCTGAAGGTGAGAAATGAAGAGGACATCTTTGACTCTTGTGGCATCTTTCCCCCTAGTGGCAGCACCTCATGTGGCAGTAAAATATACCACAAGCCAGAACCGAGTCCTGTAGTCCCCAGAGGTGCCCCTCCCTTGCCAGTTTTACTCGAATTTGTTTGTGCTCAAGCAGTCCCGTCCAACTGTACTTGAGACATGACCTTTTGTTCGAGATCTGAGGCTGGTTATGGAAAGACTCTCATCTGCGGCCGGTTGCCTTTCAGACGGCCAACAGCTTGATGTGGACTCTCTACAACCTAGCCCGGAACCCCCAAGTACAGCAGAGACTTCTTCTGGAAATCCAGAGCATGTTGCCCAAGAACCAGACGCCACGGGCAGAAGACGTGAGGAATATGCCCTACTTAAAGGCCTGTCTAAAAGAATCCATGAGGTAAGGTCACAGCTCTGGGCCAATGCACCAGGAAAGGTTCTCTTTTGCTTTGAAAAGGGGTTCCCTTTAGAGACGTAGCAATGATGCCTCAAGATGCCCCACCCCGGGCTGACTTTACACACCTATCGGACTAAAGAGAAGGGCCTTGGCGTGTATGGTTCCATATCACTTACTTCCCAAACCTTGTGGGCCAATCCCATTAAATCTCAGTGTTAAAACATTAACAGCCTGCCTCTGATGGAGGCTGACCATAGTAAGGGGTCACCTGTGTAGGGTTGGAGATGAAGGCTGAGCAAAAAGCAAGGGGGGCATGGGTCTTTCAAAACTCCTTCTGGAAAGTAAACCTCCCATCTTTAGATTAGAAGGAACCAGCACTACATTTGTGGAGAGCAGACAGCAGCAGAGTGGAAGGAATGCCGGGGGGGGGGGGGGGGGGCCGCAGGCCACACCTGAGCCGCGAACAGAATAATCGATGAGCCACTAGTTAGCCTTACCAGAGAATCGGTGTGACGAGCCACTAGCCAGCCTAGCACGATAAGAAATGAGAGTCTTATGTACTGAGAAGATCGAGGGATCTCTTAAAACCAAGACAAAGCTTAGTTCTTTGGGGATTTCATACAAAATATTTTGATCGGATTCGTTCACCTGTCCCAACTCCACCCAGAGCCAACCCCCGTCCTCCGTCGCCCAATTTTGTGTCTGCCTTTTCCCCCACAAAGTCTTATTTATTTGTCTTGCCTATATATTCTTGAGTGTGGAAGGAAGGTAGTTGATCTATCAGGGGCTACACCCCTAAGTGAAGGAGAAACAAAACGACAACAACAAAACCCTGCTTTCTCCCTCCCAGCAACTGTCGGTTGCCAATAGCCGCCCACAGAAAGAGACAGCGTTTCTTTGTGTCCTGTCGGCTTTTGGACGGCTCTTCCATTTTTCATTCTGTCGGTATTCCTAATGCTTCGTCAGACAGAGCGTGGTCCGTGACAATTCTGACTTTGATTTTTCAGGGTCACCCCAAGTGTGCCGTTTACAACTCGGACCCTGGACAAACCAACGGTTCTGGGTGACTACGCTTTACCCAAAGGAGTGAGTAGAATTTGCGTGCCTGTTCAGTAGCAAAACCTGGAAAGATTACACTTTCCAAGTGTTTGTCACACTTCCTTGAAACTTTTTACGGGGAAAGCATGTGTTCTGGAAATCGACAGTAGATTTGGTATGCTGCTAAGGGATGATGGGTCTTGAGATGGAAACATGGACTCCCTGTGAACTTTATGTCTGTGGTCTTGAGTTACAGGGAGTCTGTGAGTTTCATCTTCCTCCACAGAAAAATGAGTGGAGGTGGTTGTGAAAATGGAAAAAAATGTAGAGTCCTGGGGCGGGGAGGGGTTCAGTGGGCCTGAGCACTTGCTGCAGAAACGGAAGGACATGGGTTTGGATTCCCCGACAACGGGATGTGGCTGTTTGGGTCAGCATTTTGGAGGGCAGATGGAGGATCCGTGGTCCTTGCTGGCTGCCAGGTTAAATCCAGGTTCAGAGAGAGACCTTGTCTCAACTGGGTAAGGCAGAGAGCAGTAGACAGCACCAAATGTCCTATACACGCATATATCATTCTTCCCCTAACATGTCAAGCCATACAACCGTCATTATTATATTTCTGTGAGTTATTTTTTTGCTTCTGGTTTCTTAAAATATCATCCTTTCCCTGTGTTCTTAGACACTGTTGACGCTAAATACCCAAGTGCTGGGTTCCAGTGAAGACAACTTTGGAGACTCCGACCAGTTTAGACCTGAACGCTGGCTTCAAAAGGAGAAAAAGATCAATCCCTTTGCCCATCTCCCATTTGGCCTTGGGAAGAGGATGTGCATTGGGCGCCGACTGGCTGAGTTACAGCTCCACTTGGCTCTTTGCTGGGTAAAGGTCTTCACTGTGTTCCTACAACCGCGCCCTGGGCTATTTCACAAAGCGGGCGTGGGCGGAGGGACAGAGGGTTAATTCTGCTTTTGTCTCGATCTTTGTTACAGATCATCCAAAAATATAATATTGTGGCTACAGACAACGAACCTGTGGAGATGCTGCATCTCGGCATCTTGGTACCCAGCCGGGAGCTGCCCATTGCATTCTGTCTGCGGTAGGATGCTGAGGTGAGGGTCTGGGTCCCTTTGCCCTCAGGAGCCTTACCTGACCAGGACTGAGCCAAGTTTGGAACTGTCTATACTCACGTTTCTTTATTTTCTTCCTCCCTCCCTCTTTCTCTCCATCCCATCTCCTTCCCTCTCTGTCACTCTCTCTCTCTTTTTTCCCTCCTTTCTTTCCAATGTGTGTGTGTGTGTGTGTGTGTGTGTGTGTGTGCCACAGGAGTGTTGGTACCCACAGAAGTAAGAAAAGCACACTAAATCCCCTGGATCTAGAAGTTACAGGCAACTGGGAGCTGCCCAAATGACACGGGTGCTGAGAACCAAACCCAGGTCCTCTGCTAGAGCAGCAGGTGCTCTTCGCCATCTCTCTAGTCCCACCTAATTCTCCTTTTATAAACATTACTGAAACCTTTTCTCTCTTTCAACTTGGGCCACTCAAGCCCTGTGCTAAAGAATTACTCCTGTAGCAAAACAGGAGCTCTTGTAAGTCTGGCTGGCTTCTCCTAATGCACATTACAATGAACTCACAACCATTGATGTGAGCAAGGAGTGAGACAGTGAGGCCTTATTGTCTGATGTAGAAGGTGACCTCTCTCCAACCCATGTCTTGACAGCCACATGTTCGTGCTTGAAGCCCGCTCACTCACTCAGTCTGTCCTTCCAACAGAGTGATTAGGGTTTGCTCAGGGTCAAACCCTGAGGTGGGTGGAATGAATATTTAGAGGAACACAGAGTTAGTGTTGAAGCTTCAGAATGAGGTCCCGAGGAACGCAGCATCATTCCCTAGTGTCTGTAGTGACAGACAACATGTCACATGAAGTGGGATGGTGTGAGCACAGTCGTTACTCAGCAAGGCTGGAGTGTTCATTTCACTCTGTGAGCTACGCTGTTCGCAGATGCTCACCATAATTTGAATTTCAGCCTTTTGCTCTCTAATGACTGAAATAACCTTATTCTAATAGTTGAAATACCCATAATGACATATGCTGGGTGTCTGCTTGATTTTCCAGATTGTTTTCAAGATCTTTCCCTTTCAGCAAGAATTCTGCTTATGGCTTCCGTATTCCCACAAGGCAAACTTCAAGGACCAGAGCTTGGGACAACCTGCAAATCATGACACACCTTACCTTCTATAGAACTATTCTAGAAGCAATTGTCTACACAAAGATTTTCGCTAAGACCGGTCACTCAGGGAAGCACAGGTCGTGTGGGAGTGCCAGGTCCCGCCCTCCAGACCCCACTGCTGGTTTACATCTGCCAATCAGAGCCATTCTTGCTTCTGTGGCCCTGCTCAAGAGCCTGCTGTCTCTCTATCCTCTGTGACATCACCGGGAGGCTGATGGTCAGCCGGTCTAGTAAAGGTCCCTAAGTGTTTCTGCTGCCAAACCCAAAGAAGAAGCTTTAATTCCCATTCATGAAGAAAGACCTGCTATGGCTTAATTGTCTGGGGATCTGAGTGGGGCTGGCAAACCATTTATTATACCTCTGTTTCATTCAATATTTGAGGAAATGCCGGCCGAGCTAAGTGTTAGGTAAAGGCTCCCCTAAAGCTATTTTCCCTGCATACAAGGGGAAACACTATTGGAAATTAGAGACTATTTCAAGAAGTCCTATAGTGAAGCCAGCCCCTTGCTGATGAATGCTCAGTCACGCAGAGGACTTCGTAAATTTTTTTTTTATTTGTTCGCACCTTTTCTCCGTGGTATTGGAGTATGGGTGGATGAATCAGCAGTTTCTGGGCTGGCACATGTGGGCTAGTGTGTGTGCCTGAGTGGCTGTGGGCTCTGAGGGTGCTTTGCTTCAGTCATGGTTTACATAAAGACTTAGGATACCCAGTTTAGTGCAGGACTGTATCCTGAAATTTAGTCACAGCTTCAAGGTACGAATATACAATTTCAGAATAGGACTCTCTATGCCTTAATTTCTTTATCTATTCAAAGTGATGGTGATAATGTATGTGTTCTCAGAGACTACCTGAGCAATGTGTAGCGTGACTTGGAGAAAGCATGATTTCATAAGTGCAAACCATGGAGTTATTCGCTACTCACACATTTTTTTTTAAATGTTTACATATCACTTGTGCATTTTCTAACCAGCACCTTTTTTCTACTGAAGTTTGCTGTTTCCTTTTGTATACTTGATAAAGATTTTCCCTTTTAGATTATGGTTTTAGAATATTTCTGAAATATACATCCATGTGTATTTTTTTGAATGAATTCGTGCGTATGGCTAACACACGCTCTCTCTTTCTTATGAAGTTATTTTTGTAGTTGTAAATCCAGAGACTAAAAATGTAGTCCCATTGTAAGGGTTTACCTAGTCCATGTGGGGCCCTGGATTCCATCCCCAGTACTGCTGAGAAATAAAATAATAAAATAAATAATTACACCTGTGTTGTCAGAGTTTACTTTTATATATTTGTCTTTCTAAAAAATTTTTTATTATATTCCTTTTGGGGGAGGATCACACCCACCACATCACGCCCACGGAGGTCAAAAGGCAATTTAGGGAATCACTTCTGTCCTTTCAGGATGCAGGTATCAGGATCAAACTTGTTGTTGGGCTTAGCAGCAAGCATCTTCAACCATGGAGCCCACTAGCCAGGCCTTGTGTTTTATAGCTTTGAATTCTCTGAATGAAATTTTTTTATTTAAATGCTCGAGAGATGGTTTTGCCTTCTTTGCTGGGCTTCATACGACCATTTTTTTTAACCTTGAACTTTGTTTTATTCGTAGAAAATGCTGTGTGTCCATTTTGCAAGCCATCATCGCCCTTATGAAAGTTTAGATTTTTTTTGAAAAGTCCCTTTGCTGAAAGAGGATCACTTAATAACAAAATAAACTTTCAGGTTTTGCTCTTACCAGCTTTTCAAATTGCCTCCCCATCTCCTCACCACAGTACTGGTGTTTATATGATCACTGTGACCAAACACCCTACAAGAACCAGTGTTAAGATGATGGATTTAGTCTGGCTCCCTGTGTGAGCATACAGTCCCCCATGGTGGGGAAGACACAGAGGCAGGAGTGTGGCTGTGCCCGCTAAGGCAGGAGGAGCATGAGGCTGCTGGCTCACATCTCTGCAGAAGGAAAGATGGAAGAAACTAAGATGGAGGTGGGACCAGTCTACAACCACTTAGACTGCCTCCAGGTAGATCCCAACTCCCAAAAGGGTCACAGCCTCCCAAAACAGCACCACCAGCTCAGGACTCAAGTGTCTAAACAAATGAGCCCATGGAGGACATTTTATAGTCAAGCCATTATAACCAACATCCCCATCACGCTGGCTGTAACCTCTACCATTCTTTCCTGAACCACTGTAATAACTCCAGCAACTCATCAGTAATTCTTGCCTGCGTTCTCTATCCTCACTTTCTCTCTTTCTCTCTCTCTTCTCTCTGCCATTGACTTTCTCTCTGTTTCTCTCTCTTGCTCTCACTCTCGCTGTGCCCTACTCTGTGGTAATGCAGTCTGGCTTCAAGTCTGCTTTGAATTCAAACTTGATCTTGAACTTTTAATCCTGCCTCCATCCCCTGAGTGCGGGGATTACAGTCACGTGCCACCATGCCCTCCTCAGTCTTTTCCCGTCTCATTCTTCCTCTGTGGCTGGCCCTCCACTCCTCTGACATAAAGACCCAGCTCTATAAACTGACCTTTCCTTCCCCGTGAAGTGTAGGTCCACCGACTGGATATCTCGGCCGGCATCCGCTTTCCCAGTGCCTCTGCTCTCTGACCACACAGCCTTCCGCCAGTCTCTTCTATTCCTTCAGCACTGCCCTCTCCGGATCCTGCACACCTACAGCTCTTCTCTCTCCCCGTTGGCCACTCTCTGCCTGTTTCCTCCCATATGCCACGCAAAGCTCAGCTCTGGCTTCCTTCAGCTCACCCCGATTCTGTCCATGGACTCTGGCCCTGGGGCCACAACTCTCTAAGGAGTGATTCTTGGGGGGTCCTTAAGATAGTGACCTAGGGGCTGGAGAGATGGCTCAGTGGTTAAGAGCACTGTCTGCTCTTTGAAAGGACCCGGGTTCAATTCCCAGCACCCACATGGTAGCACACAACTCTCTGTATTGCCAATTCCAAGGAGATCTGACACCTTCACATTAATGTACATAAAATAAAATTAAATAAATTATTTAAAAAAAAAAAGATAGTGACCTAGGAGCGGGGAGACTCCTGGAGTACTGAAATTCAAGCTGTGTCATGGGGGTGCATTCCTAGACACACCTAGCTCTTACTGTATCCAGGTACAATGGGAAGGCCAGCCCAAGGATTGTTTTTAAGGAGGACTATGAGGAGTCAGACTCTAAGAGCAGAGCACAGAGGGACCAGAGGAGGCCCTGGTCTGGGAACGAGCAGCAGAGAGTCAAGTTGGAGCAAGGACAGTGCCTATTGCACCTTGCCTGTTCATGACAAGGTCGCCTAGCATTGCCCCTGACCTTGCTGGTTAGAACCACTGTAAGAACTAGTGCTTATGAACTGCTCCTCTGAGAAAAAGAGAGTGCTTGGTAAGGAATCTTCCAAGCGGGTTGACACTAAGGTAGGCTGTAATGGCCATTTAGCCAGCTTTAACTGGGGCCCATCAGTCATTCCTACTTGGAGCACCAGGCTGACTGGGAGGATGAAGGTCTCGTGCATCCAGCAACTCAGTGCAGGAGATGGACTTGGCCCCCCTCCAGCCTGGTTTCTGGCACACATCTCAAAGTGGGAGCACCTTGCTCTGCTCTGTGGTTAGGAGGTAGAAGCGTGTGCATAACGTGCGTGGACCCTCCACCTGACCCAATCGCACCACGTTCTTTTCAAAGAAGCAGAAGCCTCTTCTAACGTTCTTTACCTGGAGTCATGAGCTACTGTCTGAGGATGGGAGCTGCTGATTTCCAAATCCAAATCCCCAGTGTCCCTCTGTTCTGTAGAAACACCCTGGAGCTCGGTGGCCTAGAAAGTCCAAGCTGGTGTAGTGGGGAAACCCATCTTTCAGAAGTGGTGACCTCATCTGGGTTT